TGGCAGAGCCGGAATTGGGAGCCCAAAGTCAGTGTACAAAAGCACCTATCAGTTCTGCGCCTGCTGCCGTGTCACCTCCTGGGCTGTGTCACTCTGAGCCAAGTGTGTGCGAGTCACTAGGACCAAAGGCTGCCTCTCCACGGGCACCTCCGGAGACTGCGTCGGGGCTAAGCCACAGAATCCCAGGCTTCCTGGGGGCCGGCCTCAGCAGGAGGGCCCCTCTGGCTCTGCCCTCACTCCAGCTACGTCCCGGAGGCCTGTGTGAGAGTGGCCGAGGCTTTGACCTCACTTGGCATAAATCCGAATGGCCGTTGGTCCGCCTGACACCCCTTACGCTCTGAGACGCCCTGAGCCTGGCCCTATGGCACTCACTGAACTTGGGCCTTGGGCTGAGGTGCTTCACCGTGAATCTGAGCGGCTGCGGCTCCTTCAAGGAACCAGAACACTGTCTCCCTCCAGGCCTGGAAGGGGAAGGGAGTCTAGTGTGCAGCCCACAGTGTGGGTCGTTGGGGAGAAGGCACATGAGAGGACAAGGTGAGACGGGCAGGTTGTTCCGCTTCTCAGCCCGGGAGGACAGGCCGGCCCTCTGGGTGTGGCCTTCATGGAGCTAGAGCACTGGTTCTCAACCTTCCTAAAGCCGCGACCCTTTAATACAGTTCCTCATGTGGTGGTGACCCCCAATTTCATTGTTACAAATTGAACATAATGAAAGCATAGTGATTAATCACAAAAACAATATGTAATTATATATGTGTTTTCCGATGGTCTTAGGCGACCCCTGTGAAAGGGTCGTTCGGCCCCCAAAGGGGTCGTGACCCACAGGTTGAGAACCGCTGAGCTAGAGGACCGTGGCAGGAAGGAGAGTGTGGCCAGATGAAGGGTGGGTGTGGGGCCCTGGGCGTCTTGGGGAGCCGGGGTGGGATAGAAAGTTGTGTCTGATGCTGATGCTGCCCTGGGGGTGGGGGTGGGGTGGGGGCAGTCTGTGGGCAGCTCTGACTTTTTATAGCTGCATGGGAACCATCAGGGAGGAGACTGGATTGGCCGGGCCTGGGGCACAGCTATATTCGGTAAGCAGCGGCCCCTGTCTCAGCCTCAGAGGTCGCAGGCAGGCTGGGCCCGGCAGGGAGCCAGGGAAGGCGGGAGGGGGAGGAGACTTGCTGGTGAGAGTGTCTAGTGTCGAGGTTGCAAATGGTGGGATCCGACCCACAGGCGTGCTTTGTGTCGCCCACGCCCACCGGAAGGTCTCTGGGCTGGAGTTCCATAGTGCTGCTCCTTAAGACGGACTCGCAGCAACATTTAGTCCCGGTCTCCCACCTCTTACACCTGCGCTTCATTTGTTAGCTGTGGCCCCTGTGTTTGCAACCTCCAGGCCAGCCGAGCCTGCTCTCCACGTTGCTGCCCTGATTGTCCTCACTGCCGTCCAGTGGGGTCCAGTGGGGTCCAGTGGGGGTAGGGGCAGGAGTCAGTTTGGGAACTTAGCCCCAGGGTTTGTGCTGGGACATTGGGGCAATGTTGGAAAAGGATGTATTCCATTCATCTCTTAACGAAAACTTCCCATTGGTGGGAACAGAAGCCTCCTGCTGCCTGCTTTTCTCTCTGAGCCTTTGCATGCACGTGAGTGTGATTCTAGGCACACGTATGTGTCGTGTGTGTGTGTGTGTGTGTGTGTGTGTGTATGCGTGCGTGCGTGCACATGAGCCACCTGGTGGGTGCCACACCCAGCTCTCCCTGGAGCATCTGCTTCAGTCAAGGACTGGAGACCCCATCTGTTGGACCAATTGGATGCTGCCCCCGTGCCCCTGAGGGCTCTCTGAACCTGCTGTTGGACTCCCAGGGTCTGCTCTAGGAGGCCCGGCCGGGCAGGGAGGTGATGCCTGCCTCTCTTTTGCTTTTGCGTGGCGCTGGCTGAAGATGCGCCAGGAGGAGACTGCCAGCTACAGAGTGGTGCAGACCAGCGAGGAGGGGCTGGCGGCCAGCGGCGAGCTCCCGGGACCGCTCCTGATGCTGGCCCAGAACTGCGCCGTCATGCACAACCTGCTGGGCCCGGCCTGCGTCTTCCTGCGCAAGGGCTTTGCTGAGAACAGGCAGCCTGTACGTAAGTTGGCCCCCGTGGAGCTGCTTGACTGGGCTTCACCGGCGTGAGGAGGTGCTGGGAAGAGGAGGGGCTCTGTACACAGAAGTGTGCCTCCCCCCGCAGACACACCTCAAACCCTCAGTTTGCAAATCTGACCCCTGAAGTTTCCCGCTCATGGCTGCAGCGCACTGCGGAGCCCACCTCCACCAGCAAGGAATGATGACAGCAGCCAACATTGTGGGGATTTTAAAAAATACACGTGTTTTTATTGATTTTAGAGAGAGAAGGCAGAGGGAGAGAGAGAGGAACATCAGTCAGCTGTCTCCTCTATGCACCACATCCTGACTGGGAGTCGAACCTGCGACCTTTTGGTGCATGGGGTACGCTCGACCAACCGAGCCGCACCAGCCAGGGCGTGTTGGGGAGACCTTTGAACACTTTCTGTGTGCCCGGCACTGTGCTAAGAGCGTTGGCCCATTGCCTCGCTTAACACTCAGAGCCACTCCAAGAGGTAGGTACTATGACCCCATTTTACAGATGAGGAAACTGAGTTGGAGAAGTAACCTGCTGAAGGTAACAGCTTGTGGGTGAGGGAGGTAGGACTCAGACTCGGGCGTCTGACTAGGCCTCCTGTGCTCTGAGCAACAGTGCTGAGCACACAGCACTGTCCGGAGGACTTGCTGCCAGGATGGAAGCCTCCTGAGATCTGCACTGTCCACTGTGGCGGCACTGGCCACGTGTGGCCGTGGAGCACTGGACATGGGACTAGTGCAGCTGAGGAGCTGGATGTTAATTCTGTTTCATTCCCATTCGGATTAAATGGCCACGTGTGGCTACTCTCCTGGACAGCCTCCTGCAGGCCTTGGACAGCCACGGGGAGGGGGGAACAAGGATGGTGCCACAGGTGGAAATGTTTGTAGGTTCCATTTCCTGAATGCCACGTGCTAAGCGCTACATGTCTTGTCTCACGGTATGCTCACTGAGGCCCTGGCAGGGGCCTGGCACTGACCTATTTACAGGTGCGGAGGCTGGCTAGGCCACAGAAGTGACCTGCTCCGGGCCCATGGCTAGGAAGCAGCAGATCTGAGCTTTGCACCTGGGTCTGTGTGACTCTAGAGGCCAAGCTCTTCCCCCGGCCATTACGTTGGAGTGAAAGGAATATGTGTATGCTCCATTCCACCTGCCCCCCCCCGCCAATTGCTCATGGTCTTCCTGCCACCCGGGAGGGCATCTCTGGCTCTACTCCAAGCACAGTACACAACTCCCCCACTCTGTACCCGGGGTGGGGGCGACCCAAGCACCAGCCACCAGGACTCAGCAGCCCCCAGGCCCCCCGCAGCGGGGAACTGGCTTTCCGCTCCCTGACCCTGTCTATGCAAGATGTCTGAGGAGGTGCAGTGGGGGCAGTGACTCCGAGCTGGGTCCTGGAGAAGTGGGGGCTGCTGGAGTCTGACCGGTGGAAAGGACTTGCTATGTCTGAGTAACTTGTCCTAGCGAGAGCCCTCCGTGTGTGCGTGCGCGGGCACGTCCTCGCTTGCTCACTCGCTCGCTTGCACTTACTGGGGGTGTGGGCACCGCAAAAACCCAAGCGCCAAGTCTGAGTTGGAGCAGCTAGTGGGTGACAGAGGCCGGATTGGGTATGTGAAAGCGTAACGACCTGCACGACACGCACCCTGTGCGCCGAAGGCACCTAACGGACAGACACACCTCAGTGACCCACCCTCAGCCAGAAGCGCCACCTGCAGGACCCGGAGCTCGCAGCTGCCGGCCCAAGCACATGGACACGCTCCACACTGTCCGCCACCTACAGCCACTCCTAAGCACCGGCCTGTGCACCTGCTTGTTCCTCTAGCTGTTGCTCAGGAGCCGCTTTCTAGAAGATTCTCAGATTTTCCAGAGTCAGGGCCCCTTGCCCTGGGGCCAGTTTGGAGTGGGTGGGCACCCTGGCCCTGTTGGCTAGAACAGCCTGTGTGCACAGCTGAGATGCCTCCCGCTCACGGTGGCACACCGCGTGTCTGTGTTCATGACAGGTGTGCCTCTACCTGGCGTGCTTCCTCAGGGCGGGCACACCTGCCCCATGTGCTCCCTGCCCAGAGGCAGAGAACTGTGCCATCTGGGGAGGAGGAGCCCCGTGGACCAGTTTGGGAGCTTACTAAGCAGGTCCAGCTGGGCAGCCATCCATGTCGTGCCAGTCTGTGTCCCTCCTGGGCAGGCCCAGGGCAACGGGCCCCTCACCAGCTGGAGCTGCCCCTGCGTCCTCCGGGCTCCTCTGCCATCTGCTGTGATGCCGAGACCCAGGGTCTCCTTGGCTCCCCAAGGAGAGCTGGGCCCTGATTGACGCTTTGGATGTGTGTTTTGGGGCCTGGCGGCAGCCAGAGGCACTGGCAGCCCCCAGGCTCCTATGCTGTGCCCGTGGCAGGGCAGGGTGTAGCATGGGGGTCAAATTGGAGAAGGTAGAGCAGTGCCCGGAAGCAGGGCGCAGCCCTAACCCTGCCTCCACACCTCGGGCCCTCCCCTCCGTCTCCCTCGGGCTGCCTGCCTGGTCCCGGCTTTCTCTCCTCAGCCCTCTCTGCTCCCATTACCTTGCAGGCCTCCTCTCTGCGGTGACCTCCCGCTGACGCTGTTTCATTTACAGGTTTTTGCCTCGGACCAGCTCTGTCCTCTGACACATTCTCGTGTCTGAAACAAGGGGCTGGGTGTAGAGGGCCTGTGCCCCGGCTGCATGGGGCTCTGGGGCCCTGGGCATCGGCCATGCTGTGGGAGATGTGGGGGTGCTCATTTCCCCCTCAAGGACAAGGCCCAGGCATGCTCGGCTGCAGCCCCGCCAGCTCCACCAGCGCCTGCTGCCACTTGCATGGCCCTCAGGTTGGACTTTGTGACTCCGGGCCCCTGGCAGCTGCTAACAGGACACGTTCTTCTGTTTCAGGACAGATCACTGCGGCCAGAGGAGATTGAAGGTGAGACCCGGCCCCTTAGGGGAAAGGGTTACTCAGCCATCCAGGAAGCTGAGGGAAGGGAGACCGGTGGGAAGAGGCAGAGACCCCCTGACCTCCAGGGACAGGGCCTGGTAGGGAGCCGGGGTCAGAGGAGTGTACAGCCGGCAGCTCCGGCTCTGGCTGTCCACGCTCGTGGGCCCTATGTCTGCCTTTGGCTCCAGAGGCTCTGCAGCTCCCAGCCCCAGCCATGTCCACTTTCTTCCCTTCCCCAGAGCTCCGAGAGGCCTTCAGAGAATTTGACAAGGACAAGGACGGCTACATCAACTGCCGAGACCTGGGCAACTGCATGCGCACCATGGGCTACATGCCCACCGAGATGGAGCTTATCGAGCTGTCCCAGCAGATCAACATGAACCGTGAGTCCCTCCACTGGGCACCGGGCACCTCCTTCCCTCCCGTCCTCACCTCTGCAGCCCTCTGCAGTCACTCAGGCCTGGGTTCAAATTCTGGGCCCACCTCTCTGCAGCTCTGTGGCCTGGGGAAAACCACGTACCCGTTTCCTCACCTGGAAAATGAGGGGTGTGGCAGGGGGAGAGAACTCAGGGCGTCACCGAGGGACTATATTTAAAGCAGCCCAATACCTGGCCCGCAGTGAGTTGAACAGAGAGATGCTGTTATCACTGTTTTCCTCTTGTCTGGGTTCTCAGAAGCAAGCCTGAGACAAGAACTTGAAAGCACAGGTCATTTATTTAATAGGTGATGAATAGGGAAGTGAGACAGGGAAGAGGAGGAGCCAGCAAAGGGTGTATTCTCAAGCCACTGACCCGAGTCCAATTCTGTTGGGGAACTTGGGGAGTCAGTGTAGCAGCTCCCCTCAGGGCTAGCCCGTAGCCCTCACCTGGGGCACTTGCCCCCCAAACTCCTGCCAGTCACTGGTGAAAGCTGTTGCTGAGCAGGCCTGTTAGCAGCTGCTAGGGGCCCGGAGTCACTTGTACCTCCTGAGAGAGCCTGTTGGAAGTTGAGCTTCCATTTGCACAAGGGTAAGGCTTGGAGCATGTGGGCCAGGCACCCAGAATTTCTGCTTCCCTCTCTGCCTTACTGCATGTGTCTCTGTCTCTGAAATTCTTTGCCTGTCTCTGTGACCTAATGTTTCTTTCTCTCATCCATATCTATCTCCACCCACTTCCTGATTTGTTCCCTTTGTCAACCCCTGGCCACTTCCCTGAGCCATTCTTTGACAAACCACCTGTACATAGTCACCTCTCTGTCATCATTTGGCCTTTGTGGACCTGGCCCTGTGCAAGTCAGGGTGGGGTTGGTAGTACCTTCCATTGCCTAGGAGGGGAATGGTTAGATGGATGACCTAGCTCTTTCCTTTGTCCCCAGTGGGTGGCCAAGTGGATTTTGATGACTTTGTGGAGCTAATGGGACCTAAACTCCTGGCGGAGACGGCAGATATGATTGGTGTAAAGGAACTGCGAGATGCTTTCCGAGAGGTGAGTCGTGGGCAGTGGACAGGCTGTTAGAAGCCCAACCCCAGCATGGCAACCTGAAAAGAGCCCTGAACCCTGGGTCCCAGACCAGGAAAGGAGCTTGGACAGAGAACAGTCTCTGGGGGAAAGGGGACAGTGACTCTGGAGAAGGAGCTCAACTTTGGGATCTGCTCTTGATGGTCTCCATGTTATAGCTACCTCTCCCTCCTCCTGCCCTGTCTAGTTTGACACCAATGGTGATGGGGAGATAAGCACCAGTGAGTTGCGAGAGGCCATGAGGAAACTCCTGGGTCATCAGGTGGGACACCGAGACATAGAGGAAATTATCCGAGATGTGGACCTCAATGGGGATGGCCACGTGGACTTTGAAGGTAGGTGGGCTTGAAAGTGGGAGAGAAAGGGACCATTCATGGAGCCTTCCAACTGTATACCCATCATGCAACCATCATTTCATTCCCACTTTCCATCCCCTACTCTTCCATCCTGCCATCCATGCACCACTTCAGTCTGCCTCCCATCTCTATATCCATCCATCCATCCATCCATCCATCCATCCATCCATCCATCCCATCTATTCATTTATCCATCTCTTCATCTGTCCTATTTATCCACTCATCCATCTCTAAACAAGTACCCATAGAACCATTTATCCATGCACTTATCTATCCACCCATGCCTAATTCTTCCATAATTCACCCATTCATTCATCCATGCACCCATCAACCCATGTATATCTCTGCATGCATCTATACTTCTCTACATTCATTCATATATTTATATATCTTTAACCACCTGCCTATATTTCTACCCATACTTCCATTGATCTAATTGTCTGTCTAGTCTTTCCCTATCAGTAACCATCTACTCATCCACACATCCGTTACTGTGTCCATCTTCCCCCACCCATCTCTGTCTATCTGTCTGTCCACATCCTCCATCCATGGAAAGTATTTTCTGAATGCCACATTCCTCACGATGACACCCAGGCCCCTAAGATCTGACCACAGCTCCTACCATTCCTTCACTCCCACCGCACCTACAGCTGCACCAAAGTACTCGTGGTCCATGAACCTGCCAGGTTCCTGTTTAACACACGGTTCTTTTTATCAAGATGCCTTTGTTCTATTATTCACTTGGGCTCAATTCTATTCATCCTTCAAGATCCAGCAGTGGGACACTTTGTTCAGCCCTGCGTCCCTGATTCTCCAGATTGAACCTTTGGGCCTCACAGCACCTCAGGGCCATCCTTGTCCTTCACACTGTCCTCCAAGGGCTACTATGGTCTCTCCACTTGACTCTGAACTTTTCCAGAAGAGGAACCTCCTTTCTTTATCACTGCATTTTCCACATAACTCAGTGCCTGGCTAATGCTACATGAACACTTTTTCTAAGGAATCAGTAGCAATTACAATAATTATCATTTATTGTAAGTATATGTACGAGTCACTGTACTGATTAGCTTTACATAGTTTATCTCATTTAATTCTCACAGTGACTCTGTGGATTGCACTATTAGTACCGCATGAGATGAGGAAACTGAGGCTCAGAGAAGTAATATAACTTGCTAGGGATTACCTAACCATGAGGCAGAGCTGTGTCATAAACCCAGGCCTGGAATCTCAGCCACGCATAACATGGTGCATGACACCATCTGGAACACTGTGAGATGCAGGGAAAAGACAGTAAGACGTTGACTCTGTACTCCAGATACCTGAGTTCTAAGAAAGGCAGGATGAGTATGTGCCAGCCTGTGTGTCCGGAGCACAAAGGGGGGAGGCCTTTTACGGAGAGTAGTTGTCCCTCACACTTGGGTAGAATGTGACTAGATGGAGAGAAGGCTTTGCCACCACAAGATCTGAACATCTCCGGATGTCCTGTGTCCAGGTAAGTGGCCCTCACAGACGCCTGCCCTTCCCTGAAAGCCCAGGACCCCATTTATTCTACCAGCACGTATTTACACCTCCGCGGGCTGAGACCAGACCCCCGCCCTGAGGCGCCTAAGACCAGCGAGGAAAACAGAAGCCAACAGTGTAGTTCCTGCTGTTCTGAGGGAGTGTATAGCAGGCTGTGGGGACAGGGGGGGCCCTGTGCCAAGCTGGAGGGGGATTCGGGAAGGCTTCCTGGAGGAGGCTGTGAATAAGCAGAGCCTAAGGAATGAGCAGGAGCTACCAGGGGAAAAGAAGGAAGAACTGTTTATCCAAATGAAGCTATGGATGTGTATAGCAGCTTCATTCATAACTGCCCAAACCTGGGAGTAACCAAGAAGTGCTTTAGTAGATGAATGGACTGTGGTCCACCAGACAATGGAATGGTATCAGAGAGAAGAAAACTTAAATCCATACTACCAAGTGGAAGAAGCCAATCTGAAAAGGCTGCATGCTGTATGATTCCAACTATCACATTCTGGAAAAGGCAAAACTGGAGACAGTGAAAGGACCAGTGGTCGCCGGGGGCTGTGCTGGGAGGGGGATGAGCACAGAGGATTCTTAGGGCAGGGAAACGATGGTGAACAGACTATAACGGTGGATACGTGTCATTATACACTTGTCAAAGCCCATAGAATGGGCACCACCAAGAGTGGACCCTCCTGTGACCTGGGCTTGGGGTGGTACTGATCTGTCAATGTCAGTTCATCAATTTTAACAATTGTGCCACTCTGGTGGGGCTGTTGATAATGGGGGAGGGTGTGCCTGTGTGGAGGTCGGGAGTATATGGGAACTCTGTGCTTTCTGCTTAATTTTGCTGTGAACCTAAAACTGCTTTAAAAGAGAAAGTCTAGTTTGAAAAAGAGAAGGGAGAGGGGACAAGTAGCAGGAGAGCTGGAAAGTGAGGAGGGAGAGGGAGCCAGCGGCACTTAAGGTGCTGGAAGGGAGAGCTGTGTGGCTGGGGCATGAGATGGGGGTGAGTGGGAGAGATGAGGCCGGAGAGGTCAGCTGGGGCCAGAAGTGGGAGGGCCTGCGGTCATGCCAGTATATGGGACATTGTCCGTGGGGTCCGTGAGAGGTTTAAGAACGGGTCAGATATGCAGCTTGGAAAGCCCGAGCCGCTGCTGTGTAGAAGATGGACTGGAGGAGGCCGCCTGGAGTTGGGGACCAGCATGGAATCAGGAGCAGGGGCGATGGCGAGGGGACAGGTTGAGGGCGATTCGAAGGCAGGGTCCTGAGCTGGGCCCTGACGGCTGCTTCCTCCCCCCGCCCCTGTACCCACCAGAGTTCGTCCGGATGATGTCCCGCTGAGGCCGTGAGGGCCCCTCCAGGACTGCCAAGCTCCCACCGGCGGAGAAGAGGGGCGGAGCTCTTCTCGCTCCGCTGCTGTTGCTGCCGAGAGCCCAGGACGGACTGGTGGAGGGGGCCTGCTTGCACCCCGGGGAGGTGCCCACCCCGGACCCCCACCCTCCGCACTGTGAAAGACTCACAACTCCTGCAACTGGAAAGAGGGGCGCCCACCGACAAGGAGGCCACAGTGCCAAGCCACAGAGGTTATGCAAGGCGCCAAGTGCCATGTACCCAGCCGCTGCCGGCTGGACGGGCCAGGGAGCCCGCCAGCAGATCCCACATAGCATGTCTGCCCCAGGGCACAGCCTCTGTTGCCCTCCTCAGCGCTGCGCCCATCCCAGCTCGCCTCAGCCTTGTTATCTCAGAACCAATAAAAACATTCCCCAGAGCAAGGCCGCGTGGGGTCTTTCCGTCTTGGGCCTGGCCAGTGACGTGTTTCCTGAGTACCAGCTGCACGCCCAGAAGGGGCGGAACGTCCCTGCAGCCAGCAGGCCTTTATTGGGTGCTGCTAGGCACCCAGCCACTTCCTCACTGACCGGAAGCCAGAACCCGGCACCTCTGGCTGCAGGGAGATGGGGTGTAGTAATTTAGCTGGGTGCGCAGCTGCCACAGGATCAGGTTCTACAGCAAGTCCCTGCTTGATGGTGTCAGTAGGTTCTGCTACTTTAAGTGAAACGACACATAATGATACCAGTTTTACCACAGGCTAGTGGGTCTAAGAGGAGTCAGGTTCCTGAGCATCTCATCAAGGACCTGCTGTGTAAGAAAAAGGCCCACTTCCTGTCTTATTGGAGCTTTCCCACTGGTTAGGGAACAGACATAAGTAATTGTATTGTGATGTGATTACAGATTGTGGTGCTGCCATTAAGGAAAAAGGCAGAGACCGTCAGTCAGGTATAGTCAGGAGGCCTGGGGAGGTCAGGGAGGCTTTCCACAGGAAGTGATGACAAGGATTTTGCCCTGGAGGAAATCCCAGTGTGAGTGCGAGGGGACAGGTCTAGAAACAGCTGCCACCTCTCCACAGAGCAGGAACCAGAAGAGCAGAGGAGTTAGGCTCTGGGTTTATTTGCTGTGTGACTTTGGGCCAGTCCTGTCCCCTCTCTGAACCTCAGGTCACTGAGATGTAACATGGGGATAATAAAGGGTAATGAAGTCCACACTAAGGGCTCTCAGGGCATAGCACTGCACACCTCCAGGGGCCGCTGTTGACATACTGCAGTGGAATTGTGCCACCTAACAATATTAATCCGTTAGCACGTTGTAATTAATGCGGGTAAGTGAAGGGTTGAAGGAGCCCAAAGGGGAAGTCTGAGGGTAGAAGTTGCCTGGAGTCTTAGGTGTGGGGCATAATCAGAGCAGGGTATGGATGGACTCAGGCACCCAAGCCAGTGGTTCTCAAACTTCAGTGTGTTAAGTGTCACCTGGAGGGTTTGTTAAGCCACAGATCTGGCCTCCTCTGATGCGTGTGACTCAGTGTGAGGACTGGGGTCCATGAATGCGCATCTCTAACAAGCTCCCAGGGGAGGCAAATGCTGCCCAGGCTGTGGACCACAATTTAAATAACTTACAAATCCCAGGCTCGTGGAGGCAGGTGCCTTCCCAGGCAGCTGGGGGCGGGGGGTGGGGGAGGGTGGGTGCTGAGGGCTAACGGCTGGAAGTGGGAGGCGGTGGACTACCCCGGGCCCATAGTTGCGGCTCAGGGACGATCCTTGTTCTGAGACCTGGCAGGGAATGTGGGCCCCTGCCAGAGGCCTGGGTAATCCCCATGTCCCTGTGGGCAGCAGGGCTGGGAGCTCCACATTCACTGCAAATCCAGTCCTGAGACAGCCTCGGCTCTGTGCTCTGCAGCAGCCCGCAGCACTGCCTGCTCCCTGCCCACTTCCCTCTGCCCAGAGACCCCCAGATCTACCGTGTCAGAAATGCAGTGTTTTGGAGGGCTGCTGTGGGCGTCTCTGTAGCTGACGGATGAGCCCCTGTGGGCACCGTAGGAGGAGTAGAGCCAGGGCGTAGGGTCTGACTCTCCTGTCCCTAGTATGGCCTCTTGGGAAAAAGAAATGGACGTGGTGCCTTTGACCTAATGACTCGGCAATACAGCCAGGCCACTGTTGAGAGGGACCCTCCTGCTCAGGACAAGGGGGCTCGGAGGGGGTGGCCTCTGCCTCCTCCAGTGCTGAATCTAGAATCCTTGCCTCCAGCGTGTCTTATATTTGTGTGTGTGTGTGGGGGGGGGGGGGGGCGCGGGGGCGGCAAGATTGCTGACCGAAAGGGCTCTGCTGCTTTCGGAGACTGGGACTCAGTGTCCTAGAAGAGATTTTTTTTTTAATCCTCACCCAAGGATGTGAGAGAGAGAGAGAGAGAGAGAGAGAGAGAGAGAGAGAGAGAGAGAGAGGTGAGAGAGAAATCGGTTGCCTCCCATATGCAGACTGACTGGGGATTGACCCCAAAACCTAGGTGTGTTAGGTGTGTGCCCTGATGGAATGAAACCTGCAACAGGAATTCTTTCTGCAACCGGCACCGCACAACAGCTTGAATACCTCCTCTGGTGGGAAGCTCAGTGCATGTCATCTTAGAAGAGCTCTCATTGTCTGAAACTAAGCCCAGAACTGCCTCCCTGGGACCTGTGAAGTCCCATTCATTCATACATGCATTCAATTGATATTTATTGAGCACCTGTTCTGTGCCAGGTCCTGTGCCAGGGTCCTTGTCCTCAAGGAGCTCAGACTCTAGAAGGGAAAACATAAGAAAACAGACAAGTATCATGTACTGGCACTGAGTTACACCCAAGGTTAGTCTCAGAGAAGTAAGGCACGTAAAGGCGCCCAGTCCCCTCTGGCTGGTGGGGGTGGTATGGAAGGGACAGGTTTGCTAGGACCTGAGGATCAGCTGTGCTGAAGGGAGGAAAGGGGAGGAGTGTTTCTGGTTGAGGGAACAGCATGAGCAAAGGCCCAGAGGTCAGGAGGAGCATGGCCCCTTTGGGAAATGAAGCAGAATTCCATCTGCCGGGTGCACTGGGCGGGAGGGAGAGGCGGAGAGAGGTGACGCTCATCAGAGAGGCAGGGCCCGATCCCACCGCAGTTGGGGAGACGCAGGTGGGACCCCTGTGGAGCTGCTCCTGTGTGAGCCAGGCCCAAGGCAGGAGAAACCTGGGTGCCCCCAACAGGCTTGCCTTGGGGCAGAGAGGAGCAGGGGGCGGAGCCATCCACAGGGCGGCTGAGGGCAGCCTGAAGTGTCCCGGCAGCTACGTGGCTGAGAGCATGGCTGTGACCAAAGGCCAGAGAAACACAGACACTCTGTGCCCCTGACAGAAGAACACCGCCTCGGGGTCTGGCCAAAAGGGTCCAACTTGAGCCTGATCGCGCCCTGGAGCCAGCAGGCAGTTGGCAGGACACTCAGAGACCAGCGGGACGAGGAGTGGTACTGCGAGCATTTCATGGGCAAAATCAGACTGGGAAATTCCACCGGTCAAATGGCTCCAATTCTTCAACAGATAAATGACAAGAAAAACCAAGAGATGGCGGGAGGACTTGTAGGTTAAAGAGACTTAAGAGGTATCAGGTTAGAAAAAAATGGGCCTAACTAACCAGTGTCTAGGGAGTGACGGCGAACCTTCTGAGCTCGGCGTGGCAGCATTTTGAAACTAACTTAACTCTGGTGCCGTGTCACATATAGAAATTTTTTGATATTTGCAACCATAGTAAAACAAAGACTTATATTTTTGATATTTATTTTATATATTTAAATGCCATTTAACAAAGAAAGATCAACCAAAAAAAATGAGTTCGCGTGTCACCTCTGACACGCGTGTCATAGGTTCGCCATCACTGGTCTAGGGTGAAAAAAACACAAGGAAATTATTCCTGTAAAAGTTCAAATAGCAGTTGCTTGCAGAGAGTGGAGGGAAGGGCCGTCATTGGGAGAGGACACAGAGAAGAGGGTATCAGGCGAAGTTCTATTTCTTAACCCTGGTGTTAAGAAATATAAGGGGCCTTAGCTGAATTGGCTCACTTAGAGCATTGGCCTGCAGACGGAAAGGTCCCTGTTTGATTCGGTCAAGGGCATGTACTTCGGTTGTAGGCCCTTCCCCAGGGCCTGGCCTGGGCCCTGGTCAGGCGCAGGTAGGAGGTAACCAATCGACGTGTTTCTCTCACCTCCATATTTCTCTCTGTCCTTCCTCTCTCTAAAAATCAATGGGAAAATTGTCTTAGGTGAGTATTAAAAATAAATAAATAAAAAGAAATATGAGTATTTGCCTTATAATAATTGAGTTGTACATTTGTTTTGTATGTTTTCCTTTTTCTCTTATTTTACAATAAAGGGCTTTGTTTTTATTTATTTTTACTTTTAAAAAATATTTTTATTGCCGAAACCGGTTTGGCTCAGTGGATAGAGCTTCGGCCTGCGGACTGAAGGGTCCCAGGTTCGATTCCGGTCAAGGGCATGTACCTTCGTTGTGGGCACATCCCCAGTAGGAGGTGTGCAGGAGGCGGCTGGTTGATGTTTCTCTCTCATCGATGTTTCTAACTCTCTATCTCTCTCCTCTCTGTAAAAACTCAATAAAATATATTTAAAAAAAAATATTTTTATTGATTTCAGAGAAGAAGGGAGAGGGAGAGAAACATCAATGATGAGAGAGTATCATTTATTGGCTGCCTCCTGCGCACCCCACACTGTGAATCGAACCCACAACCTGGGCATGTGCCCTGACCAGGAATCAAACTGTGACCCCCTGGTTCATAGATCGACGCTCAACCACTGAGTCACCCCAGCTGGGCAGGTTCTTTTTGTTTGTTTTTTAAAGTGAGCACAGGAGCCAGCCACCTGGATTCAAATCCCCGCTCTGCCACTTACTAGCTGTAACATCTTGAGTACATTTTAAATCCCTCTGGACCTCAGTTTCTTCATCTGTAAAATGGGGATGATGTTATAGGTTGTTTTGAAGGTTAAACAAGTCAGTGCCTGGCACACAGTAAGCATTGAAAACATTTTTGCAGTTATTATTGCATTGTTATTCCCTATTTCCCTACCCCTCTCTCCGTGTGTCCTCAAGCTTCTGTGATTCCCCTCTCAAGGAAAGGGAAGGGAGAGCAGCCATGGCACTCCTTAATGGCTATGGGAAGTGACAAGATAGTCCCAGCTTAAATCTGGGATCTGGCTCTATGGCCAGGGCGTGACTGTCCCCACAGAATGGTCCTACAAGGTGGCCCCGGTCCTGTGGACTGTGCCTGAGGCTAGGGTTGCAGGAATAGAATGTCCCTTCACTCCTCTAGAGGGGCCTGCCACCTGCTCCCCTTCTCTGCTGATGCCTGTCTTTCCCAGAGGGAGGACAAAGGGACAGAGTATCATGAGCGAGGCCTGAGCTTCGGCGGTAACACGAACCTTGG